GTTTTTTTTACCTTTATTTTCTTTTTTTTTTTTTTTTTTTTTTTAAATTTGACCAGAGAGGGACAGAGTGTGTGTGTGAGAGAGAGAGAGCAAGCTGTCAGGTCCAGGACTTGAACTGCAGTCAGCCATGTGGGAGTCCAGCACCCTTAACTGCCACACCATCTCCTGGGCCCTGGGTGGCTAATTTTTAATTTCTTAAAATTTGGAGAAATCACAACAATGAAATGAACCTATTAGTCAAAGTATTTCCCGATTTTTGCCTTTTCGTTTTTGCTCAAATCTAAGTAATGCTTCATTTACTTTTTATGTAATTTGAGGCTGATGAAGGTAAATTACTTTCAGCCTGGAACACAATGATCCATGTTTTATCCAAAAGGCAAAATCATCTTTCTTCTTGATGCTCCATTTGTTTCTTTTCTTTATTTGGAGAGGTTTTTGCTATAGGGTGTGTGCGCTTGCCAGAAAGACAGAGAGAGAGAAAGCGAGAAATCACCCCCTAGGGGAGATGGCCACGCCACAATCCCTCCTCCATTCTCCTCTCGGGATCTTGGGCATGCACGCACATAAGCCTGGCATGAGTTTTAAGCCACCGGGTTCAGGACTTGAACTGCAGTCAATAACATGGGAGTCCAGCCACATAGCCATTCCACCAACTGCTGGTCCCCCATTTGTTTCTTTTCAACAGCCCCATTTAAATATCTGGTAGAAAGTGAGGCTTCAGTTTATGTGTAGACATGAGGAAATTTTATTAATATTTTGTTCCCTAAAGTGCGTTAAAACCATTCTGTGACTTATTCTACACATTGGCATTAGACATTGTATTAAGGGGCCAGGCACAAACATTCTAAGGTGGGTGTTCATTCATTCAACTCCCTCTTCCTGTATACCCCCTCTTTCTTTTCCTGAGAAGGGCGTGAGCTCGATGTTAGAGAAACCAAAATGGAGAGGTTTGGCTATAGTGAAGGGAACTCTGAGAGAGCACTGTGAGCTGAGGCTGGAGGAGAAATGCCAGCCCAGATTTCCAAGGGACGAATGGGCCATGTGAAGAGCCCCAGTGACTCCAAGTGCTGCTAACAGCCAGGGTCCATGTCTGCATTATTTCATTTTGTCCTTTAGATCTTTCAGAATCATCTCCGATATGACCAAGAGTTCAGATTTCAAGTTCAAATGATCTGAGTTCTGATTCTTCTTTTACTTATCTTTTCTAAAAGTAGAGAAAAACGTCAAGAAAAATGGACAGAATTAAAATGGAAATTTCACCCTATGATAACGAATGGAGATTTCAATATTTCTCTATTTTTTAAAGAATTATTTTATTTAACTTTATTTATTTATTTAAATTTGGCCAGAGAAGGATAGAGCAAGAGAGTGAGAGCAAGAAAGAGAGAGAGGGAAAGTGATAAAGAAAGTCGCCAGGTCTAGGACTTGAACCACGGTCGGCCATATGGGAGTCCAGCACCCTTACCCACCATGCCACCTGCTGGCCCCTCAATCCTTCTCTATTGACGAGATAGAATAAGTAGATGAACATACAGTGAGGATCCACAGGGTGGTCTTGAACAACTCTAGCAACCAATTTGGCTCAGTTGCCTTTTTATTCTTTTAAAGGAAACATTTCACCCTATGAGAGCAGAACATATCACTTTTTTCCCCAAGCGCTATAGAACGTGCACCTAGATAGCCAAATCTGGAGCCCAAACCACATTTCAATGCACTTACAAGCATTGAAATCATCCCAAGTATGTTCTCTGACTGCAACAGAGTTAAACAAAAATCCACATCTAAAAAAATTCCCTAAAAAAAAAAAATCCCCATATATGTGGAAGTTAAAACTACCCACTTCTGAATAACTCATGGGTCAAAGAAGAAATGATTATGGGAATTTGAAATACTTCACAATGAAGGGAAAGGAAATGAGAACCATGACTCTTATTTAAAATCAGAATCCTGACATGCAAGGGTAGAGATTCACATTCTTCCTGCCTGTGTGCTTCTTGAATGTCCCCCTTCTGCCTGTGATGGCAAAACGGATGTGGATGTGCTCTGGTGCAGGGGTCTGCCTCACCCCAGATAAGCCTGGCCTCGCCCATCTAAGTAGCCATAGTCATTTTCTTGTAGTTCAAATGGTTGAACACCCTCTTCAACAGTCATGTTCCTGGAACGGTGGAGGGGGATTTATGGAGCGGTAACTGACATTTAGTGAAAAGATTCTTATGCTAACATTAGTGAAAATCTTGTCCATACTGCTTCCTTCTTCTCAGTACTACCTGGAGAATTCTGGTCCCCTTCCTCTCTCCACTTCAGTATGTTCGTGAATCTTTCTTCCATTCCCTACTGTGACTTCTGTTTCTGCTAACAACTCTCTAATTGTTTTGACTTTTTGGAGTTTTATAATGAAGTATCTCTACCTTGATTCTGGTACCAGCTTGATCTACTCAACTTCATCCAACTTATCCAGACTTGACTATGTTTGGGATTAAGTTAGGCACGAGGCTTCCACATGGGGTGGGGGATTTACAGATCATATAATTAATTAGAGCGTGGTAAATATTTTGACAGAGACACGTCAGAAATTTTATATAGAGAGATACTCATTCAATGAATATTTGTTGACCTCCTACGTAGTGGTAGGCACTGCACAGTAGACTCCATTTCATCAGAGTAGACTTCTGAACAAAGACAGCTTTGAGTCCAATTCTGAAGGTGCTGGCAGGAGTTTTTGAGGTATGGAAGAGGAGTTGATATTTTAGACGTAAGGTACTGATGATCTAAGGGCGAGGCATGGAGTTGCAAAGACCAAAGAATGACCTAGGAATGGGCCATCCATCCTGGAGCTGGGCATTTGGTGGGGACTTGGAGGTAGTAAGTGAGCAGGTGTGAGAGGAAGGTTGTGAAAGTCCTTCTGTCCTTTTAAGGTGTTCGGTCCTGTTTCTATGGACAGTATTTGTGAATCCATGGTCACCCTCACCAGCACTTCCATACTACCCGTCGCTGTTACTTCTTTGCTTTTTATTTTGCTTACTATAGGGACAGTGGCTCCAAATGGTGGCAGTGGTGGGAACATAGCGCTATTTACATGCATTTTTAAAAAATGGGAGGGCAGGGGCCAGAAGATGCTATAATGGTTATGTCGCTGGACTCCCACATGGCCAACTGTGGTTTGAGTCTTGAATCTGGTGGCTTGAAAATCATTCTGGGCATGTGTGTGTGTGTGTGTGCCCAAGATCCTGAGAGGAGAATGGATTGTGGCATGGCCATCCTCTCTGGGCGGTGAGTTCTCACTTTCTCTCTCACTGTGTCTGTTTCTCTCTAGCGAGCACATGCGCCCTCAGGCAAAAAAAAAAAAACAAAAACCAAAAAACACTCAAAATAAATAAAAAAGTGGGAGGGTGTTTGTGCATAGACAAAGAACCCAGAAACAAGGAGTCAGGTGAGTTGTGCTCTTTGACCTGGATATTTCCTTTTAGAATTTAATCAGCTTCTTGAAATTCTTTTCTTTTATTTTCTTTTTAACTTAATGTAGGAGAGAAAGAGGTACAGGTATAAACACATTACTTTGAAAAGAGCCTGTGGGATACAATTTCCATTTATTGCCCACCCTGAAATTTTTTATTCTTTTCCTTTAGGTTTCTTGCTATTTAAAGATTTTTGTTTGAATGAAATTAATGAAGCTGTACCTCAGGTGAAGTTTTATGAAGAGGTAAGAAGTAACTGTTTTACTGATGCTTTGATTTCAAAAGCATATTTAAAGTGTATTTTGGCAAATATTAAGACTAGTAAATACATTACAAATATCTGGAGTTTCATTGAAAGTAACCAGTAATAGAAAATATATTATCGAGTTTGTTAGAAATACTAACAACTTCTTCAAAAACCTGGGCATTTTGTGAAAATCATATTCTTAAGGGATTGGAGAGCTAGGGAAGCAATGAGGGAGAGGTAGTTGAACTAAAATTCCAGAAAAGGGAGAATCATTCAGAGGTGCACGGAGGATGACCAGTCATTTTATTTTCTGTAGAAGATTGCTGATTTTGGAGATGTAAGCTAGGGCAGGGGGCTGCTACAGGATTGGAAAGGGAAACAAAGATTTTTCTGGTCCTACCGAATTGACAACATGGAGACTTGGTGGGTGTGGTCAGGCACTCAAATATACAACTGATTTTCCTCACAAGATATTTGGTAAAACCTGGAGTTGGGCAGACACCGAAGAGATTGGCAGAAGTTTCCGGAAGGCACATGAAATCTCACAAAGCCTTATGGCACTCAGTAAACCCAGTGCTGCTGGAGCAATGATTCTGAAAACAGAACAGGCAAGAGATGAAAGTGTAGAGGGAGTGTCTGTCAGTACTGAAGATTGACAGCTGCTTTTCATCTGGGTCAGCTGTTGATTCTGAGTGCAGTGGGAAGACAGGAAGCCAGGCTTCTGGGAAATAAACAAACAAACACAAACACAAACACCCAAGAGGTTACTGGGGGTAGAGAAAGGGGAGAAAAATGGGACTAGAGAAATCCCAAACACGTGATTAGACCTTCGTTTCAAGACACATGCCAAATATGAAATCAAGAGGAATGGAAGGGCAAAGAGCAAGGCTGAAAACTTAAAGGGAGAATCAAATCTACTGCTGAGGAAATAAATGTCTCTCATTGAACTTTGTGGAAGACTGTGCCTTAAAATAGGGTCAAGCCAGAGACAGACTGAGTCCTACAAAAATGGCAACCCAACCCAGCTCAATCCTTTAATGGATATTGGGCTCCCTTTCTACTTGGTTAACAGAGTAAAAAGGAGCCCTCCCTATCTTCTTTGCAGGTGGAAAGTAACATTATATAAAGATTTTACAATGTCTAGCATGTAGCAAGAAATGACTAGACATGCAAAGACGCAAGACTGTATGACTCATAGAGTACTGGAAGTTGACCCAATATGAATCAGATATTGGAGTTAGCTACAAGTACTTTGAAACACTGTGAATAATACAGTCAAGAAACTAGAGGAAGAGGTGGGACAAAGTAGACGGAGGGATACATAATTTTAGCATAATTTGATTTTATTGTAAAGAATCAAATAATCTAGGGTAGAAAGTACATTATTTGAAACTAGAGTGTAATGGTTTCAATCACAGACTGTTTACAAGACACATTAATAAACAGAAAAACAGGCCAGTAGATAATCTGAAACTGAAGCAGAGGAAAAAGAATAGAAAAGAAATAAGCAGAAGCATCAGAGAAATGTGGGACATGCTTCATGGGTCTAATATATGCATAGTTGGAGTCTGGAAAGAGAAGAGAAAGAATGTTGGGAGGAATCATACTAAGAGTTTTATGAAATGATTAAAGACAGCCACTTACAGACTCAAAAAGCGGGGCTGGCAGATGGCACAGTGGTTAAGGCACTAAACTCCCACATGGCTGATCATGGTTCAAGTCCTGGACTTGGCAGCTTTCTCTTTCTCTCTCTCTGTTACTTTGTGGTCAAATTGAAAATAAAAAAATCAAAAAAAAAGATGATGAATAAAATTATATAATAATTCTTACAAAAAACTTAGAAAACCCTAATCAGAATGACTACAAAGGAAACCTGTTTGCGTATCAATATAAGACTATGGAAACTTAATAGAAAAAGATAAAATCTCAAAGCAGTTGGGGTGAGTTGTGGGGAAGACACATTACTTTAAAAGGAACAACAATTTGAATGACTGTAACACCTCAAGCGAAACTATTTAAAAACAAAAGATAATCTTTAAAATACAGAACAAAAAATAAAACAATATAGCAAACGAACCTGTCAGCCTAGAATTCTGTTCCCAGGAAAAATTTTCTTCAAGGTGGAAGGAAAAATGGGACAAATGAAACTGTGGGCATTTTTCAGTAGCTTTCCTGCAGTGTAAGAATACTAAAGAAAAACACTTTAGCCAGAAGGCAAGTGATGGAGATACTAGAAGAAATAGAATAATGTAGCTTCTATAATTTGACGTGTGTGTAGAACTAAAATTCATGACCATAGCACAAGAGGTAGGAGAGGGTTAAAGTTCTAGGATTACCTGGGGGTGGGGGCTGTGGAACAGTAAAAGTAACAATTTGCATTGGCTTGTAATCAGTCAAGAAAGCATATTGTAATCTCTAAGGCAACTTTTAAAAGAATACAACATTTATATGTAATAAATTAAAAGAGGGAAATATTGACAAAACATTTGATTGACCAAAAAAAGTCAAGAAGGAATAAAAAGGGACTATAAAATGGGTAGGTCAAACTGAAAACAGAGTAAGATAATAACCATAACTCTATCTATATAAGTAATTGCATTTAATGTAAATGGACTAAATTCTCTATGAAAAGATCAAGTTTTTCAGACTAGATAAAGAAACATAACTCTGTTATATTCTGCTTATCTGAAATAGTTTTTATAAGGAATTATTTTTAAAATTTAACTTATTATTTTTATTTAATTTACTATAAGACATTTGTGCTCACTGGGAGGGGGAGGGGGAGAGGGAGAGGGAGAGAGGGAGAGAGGGAGAAGGAGAGGGAGCGGGGGAGAGAGAGAGAGAGAGAGAGAGAGAGAGAGAGAGAGAGAGAGAGAATGGGAGAGAGAATGAGAAAGCAGGTCACCGGGTCCAGGTGTCCAGATCCCCAACAACCATACCATCTCTTGGCCCCAGAACCAGATATTTTTTAAACAGAAGAATGGAAAATATACACACACACACACACGACACACACACGACACACACACACACAGACACACACACACACGCACACACACACACACACACACACCAAAACAAAAGCTGCATTAATATCAGACAAACTATGTAGTATTGCCACTTTGAGATAATAGGAGATATTTCTTAATGAAAAGGGGATCAATTCAACAGAAGGATCTCACAATTATAAATCTGTATTTTACAAATGAAATAACTAAATAACTGCGAAGTATGTAAAGGGAAACATTGACATATATAAAAATATATAGAGAATCTACAATCCTAGTTGGAGATATTACTAGCACACTCCTTTTAAATGCTTAGGGGACAGACAAAAAATGAGTAAGGATCTAGAAGATCTTAAAAAATGAAGAAAAAACTTGGGACCAGCAGTTAGCATAATGGCTATGTTGCTGGACTCCCACGTAGTCAACTGTGGTTCGAGTCCTGGACCCAGTGGCTTAAAACTCACGTCAGTCGCGTGTGTGTACGTGCCCAAGATCCCGAGAGGAGAGTGGAGGAGAAGGGATTGCGGTGTGGCCATCCCCTCTGGGGGGTGATTTCTCGCTTTCTGTCTCTCTGTCACTTTCTGTCTGTCTGGTGAGCACATGTGCCCTATAGCAAAAACCTCTCCAGAAAAAAAAAAAAGATGAAAAAACTTGATCTAATTGACACAGTTGTATACAGAATGCTATATCCAGCAAAATTCACATTCATTAAAGCAGCCATGCAATATTTATCAAAATAAATCTTGTTGTGAGTGAGTCCTAAAGAAAGGGTTTTTTTTTTTTTTTTTTTTTACTGATTTCAAGATTGACATTTCTCAGTATGTTCTCTAATAACAATAGAATTAAACTCAATTTTAACAGTGAAATTAACTGACTAGAAATGATTACACTTCTAAATTTATAGGTCAAAGAGGAAAGTAAAATAGAAATAAGAAAATATTTTTAATTAAAATATATTTAGGCAATGGCATATACTATTATTATTAATTTATTTTTTTCAGTAACCAGAGGTCATATATGCTTATCAGAGAAAGAGAGACAGAAAGAGAAAGAGAGAGAAAGCATCCTTAGTGGGATCCTGCCTGAATTTGGGGCATGCCTACACATGTGCCCAGCATGTTTTTCAAGCCTCTGGAGCTGGGATTTGAATCATGATTGGCTGTGTGGGATCTGGTTTTCACCACTAGGCCATAGGGCTGCCCCCATATGCTCTTATTATTAGTATAATGGATCTTTACCCGAAAGCATTTTGAATGGGCCATAGAAAGCATAGAATTTCTAGGCCTGATATCAGTAATCTGAGAAATGACAATTGGAAGGATATTTTTTTCTGCTTTACTGATATGCATGAATACAATGTTTTTCTGCATTTTATATATATATATATATATATATATATACACATACATATTAGTATGTTTTCAGGAAGAATGGTCAAATTATGATGTGCATTTACCATAATGTAAAAAAAAAGTAAACTAAATCCAAAAGAATTTCACTGAGTATGAAGTAACCTTATTATTTCAACCCAAATCATAGTCAGGCATTTTATCTGGGTAGGTACCATGGCTTGTTATGTCATCATTTCGCTTTCCTTTTCGTGTTTCGAAAAGCTTCAACTCTCTAATTTCAGCATGTACTGAGGCACCTTGTCAAACATAGGGAAACCTACCTTCACAGATAACTTCTGCTGGGTTGAAACAGATGGGCAATCTCCTCGTGGCTATTTCTGAAGCACTGATTGCTAGTACAGTGCTGCCTACTACTGATGCGTTTCCATTTGAGCTTCTTCCCAGTTCTTCTCACTTCTACTGTGGCTGGGTCCAGGAACCTGTCTGGGTTGTCAGATAATCAGTACCCTTAGAGGATGCCGCAAAGGTCCTCAGCTCTGTAATCTTTCATCCTTGGAGTTCAAGGATAATCCTCTCAATCAGTATAATCTTTTTTTTTTTTTTAAATAATCATTTAATTTATTATTATTTAAAATTTT